ATACTTTGCATAATGACCCATAAAGGAACAGGAGGGCTGGAGGAGCGATCACTGGCAGGGAGCTGGAGGGGAAAACACTGCTTCAGCTGTTGTTGGTATTTTTTTTTTGTTGTAGATAAATGCATCCAATGGCTGATGTTTGAAGTTGCTCATTTGTATTTGTCGGGTGCTGAGAATAATGCTCTGGGAATTAGTGGTGACTTCAGATCATGCTCAGAACTTTGCTCCCACTCTGTCCTCATGTGATTGTAGCTGTGTTGGTTCACATGTAACAGTTGAGTACTCTACATATTTATTATTTGCATCTCCAGTTCAAGGTTTCCAGGCTGCAGCCCTTTTACTTGGTCTAAGCAGTGCTGAGGAAGGGGGTCGACCTCCAGTGACTCTTTTTAAAAAAAAAAAAAATGCTGTTTTGTATGTAGCGGGGGTGGTCTCCTGCATATTTTTTTTTCCTGTTCAATTTATTAAATGCAATCCTTTCTTATCTGTAAATATGCAGCCTGGGAGCTCTGGAATATTGCTTCATAAACTAGCCGTGCCATTCTCTATAGCAGGATCCCTGGCTGACAATAGCTGTGGAAGCTCTGTTTGTATGTCAATGATATATTTCATGGCTCTGTAACTCTCTGAACATTAACCCAATGTAGCCTTAACAGATTATAGAGTACTGGCTTCCTGCTTTTCCCCCACACTCCCTCTTTCCTTACTGACAGGCCCGTAACAAAGGTTTCATTCCAAGGCTTCGTTGTTACATTTCATTCCTGGCTTGCCTGGGAAGTTATTACATTGTATTAAATGCTATATGTTTATTGCTGCTTTTGATCTTCTGTACAGATCTGACCTGTGAGTATAATTCTTATCCTGGAAAGGTGCTCAGATTGCTCCTAGATAGGATCCCTTGTGATTAATGACAATGGCCAGATCACCTCCTAATAGTCAGATTAGGGTGATCACTATCTTTGGGATAGGAGGAAATTTGACAGATTAGATGAGATAAATCCATTGGCTTCTCTGTAGCTAGTTAAAAAAAAAAATTAATTCACAAATGCCTCGCAGCTGTAGTTAGAGTGTCAATTAAACCCCCCCTAATGTTGTGTCTAGGTGGGATAAATTCATACATTGTGAGTGGATTTCTTGTGTGTGACGTGAAATTGGAGGAAGACAGGATATAATGGTGTGTTGGGGGTGTTTCTGTCTACTTAGATCCTGCTGATAAATTGCCTGAGCTTGGAAAGTTCTCTTGACATTTGGAGTTTTGTTTGCTGGCACTAATAAATAGAGTGGAAATTTTACTCCACTTTGTTGCTGGCACTAATGAAGAGAGAGGAAATTTTGCTCAACTTTGTTGCTGGCATAAATGAAGAGAGGAAAATTTGCTCCACTTTGTAGCTGACATTAAGGAATTGAGAGGAAATTTTGATCCACTTTGTAGCTGACATTAATGAAGAGAGGAAATTTTGCTCCACTTTGTTGGCATTACTGAAGAGAGAGGAAATTTTGCTCCACATTGTAGCTGTCATTAATGAATTGAGAGGAAATTTTGCTCCACTTTGTAGTTGACATTAATGAATAGAGAGGACATTTTGCTCCACTTTGTTGCTGGCATTAATGAAGAAAGAGGAAATTCTGCTCCACTTTGTTGCTGGCATTAATGGAGAGGAAATTTTGCTCCACTTTGTAGCTGTCATTAATGAATTGTGAGGAAAATTTTGCTCCACTTTGTAGCTGTCATTATTGAATAGAGAGGGAATTTTGATCCAGTTTTTTGCTGTGATTAATGAATTGTGAGGAAATTTTGCTCCACTTTTTTGCTGACATTAATGAAGAGAGAGAAAAAATTTTGCCCCTTTTGTAGCTACCTTCCTCTAGTTCTTTTTTGGGACATTTGGACCTTTTTTGGTATTTGTCCCATTTGTGTCGCCAGGCTCTGGTAGTCTACTTGGAGATGCTCTGGTAATTGATGGTTGGCAGAGCTGGCATATTTTTTTGGTTGAGATGTGGAGGGTGAATGTGCCATGTAGAAGTCTGGACAAGTTTGTACTTTGCCCGGCCGAAAATTGAAAGCATAACTGCCATTTAATATCTCAGGGTGGGTTGTATGGTTGTTTGCCAAAGCTGTTCATCAATGAGCTCCTCCAGTTCAGGGACTGTTCAGGGACTGTGTGAACTGTGTGTGTGTGTGTGTGTGTGTGTGTGTGTGTGTGTGTGTGTGTGTGTGTGTGTGTGTGTGTGTATATATAATGGGTTTTTTTACTCCTAAGCTGTCCTTAGATAAAATGTTTCTTCTCCCCCAGTCCTTCTGAGCCTTTTATCTCCCGACTTTTGCTATGTCACTTGCGAATCTTCTGCGAACTTTGTTCTCTGAGTTTCCAACACTCTTTTTCGAACAGTTTTCCCCCGTTTACCCCAAGCAGATCTCACCAGTTCTGCTTCCCATCGGAGTTGAATGTGTTTTTTTTTATGTATTTGTCTTCTACAAGTATCGACTGCCTGGGCTGTGGTGGAGCCGGTAATAGCCGGCTGTCCCCGATTTTGTGAGTTCACTATGGACTCTTCATTCATAGCTGTCCAGAGCTCCTCCCATCCCCTTTGAGGTGCAGTGGTCAGGTGTAGTGTACATGCACAGGAGGGGGGTCAGCACCTTTCAAGCCAATCAGGGCTTAATGTGGTATTTGTTTTCTACAAGTATCGCCCATCTGGGCTGTGGTGGAGCCGGTAATAGCCGGCTGTTTCTTTTTTTTTCGGGGGTCAGTCTGTACTCTTCATTCACAGCTGTACCTGTCAGGCGTAGTGTACATATATAAGAGGGGGGTTCGGCACATTTTAAGGACTATGCCCGTTTTTTTTTGCTGCGGATTAACTTTTGTTAGGGTGGGGGGAGCACACAAATCCTTTGCTGTCATCCATGATAAAAATAAAGCAGGATGGTGCTGGGGAGGGGGGGGGGGGGTACTCCCAGAACTTGGATCACCCCCTGTTCCTGGTGTGTAGAAGGAGGGTGCTGGGAGATAGTCATACATAGAAGTAAGAGAGCTCCCCCCCCCATTCCTGGTGTGTTGAATGAGGGTGCTGGGAGGTGCTCCCAGAAGTAGGACCCCCCCCCCCTTCCTGGTGTGTGAAAGGTGGGTGCTGGAAGGTGCTCCCAGAAGTAGGACACCCCTGTTCCTGGTGTGTAGAAGGAGGGTTCTGCGAGGTGCTCCCAGAAGTAGGACACCCCTGTTCCTGGTGTGTAGAAGGAGGGTTCTGCGAGGTGCTCCCAGAAGTAGGACACCCCTGTTCCTGTGTGTGTAGAAGGAGGGTTCTGCGAGGTGCTCCCAGAAGTAGGACCCACCTGTTCCTGGTGTGTAGAAGGAGGGTGCTGAGAGGTGCTCCCAGAAGTGGGACCCCCTGTTCCTGGTGTGTTGAATGAGGGTGCTGAGAGGTGCTCCCAGAAGTGGGACCCCTGTTCCTGTGTGTAGAATGAGGGTGCTGAGAGGTGCTCCCAGAAGTAGGACCCCCTGTTCCTGGTGTGTAGAAGGAGGGTGCTCCCAGAAGTAGGACCCCCTGTTCCTGGTGTGTAGAAGGAGGGTGCTGGGAGGCAGTGTGTGTGACCCCGGCTCTCTCCTTCCTTCCCTCCCTCTCAGCTCTTTGTCTGTTCCCTGAACTGTACTGGCGCCTCTTAGTTTTTCTGCTCCTTCCCCTCTCCTGCTCGCCCCCCACCCGCCCCCTGCACTTCAGATCTCTGTGTGATGGGTTTGTTCCTCTGGATCTCTCCGTGTATTCCTGGAAAGGTCTCTGCTTTCCCTCTCCCGATTCCTCCAGATTTAGGGGCTCAGCTCATTCAGTGAGCCCCTGCTGCTTCCACCATTGGCCTGCGCCTATTTGGGGATCTAGTGGTCGCACATGTGGATCTAGTTTGCAGCGTTGATGTAGCCTTTTTCCCAGTCTGCTGCCTCCTGGATGATTCCAATGAATGATCTGGGTGGTTCTAACTAGGAGGGCGATTTCGATTTGCTATTTGCACAGCGGGCAGATGGAAAGAGTTAAATAGCAGCGCCCCTCCCCCCTGCAGGTATATTACCGCCCCCCCCTCCAGCACCTCTGTGTGACTCCATGCCTGGGTTTCCTCCCCATCTCCAGGCGGTGGCAGGATGCCAAGTGTAAGTGTAGGTTGCCATAGTAACGGAAGGATTGCAGCTTGGGCACCAGCACACGGTAATGTGCTCCTTTCATCGTCAGTATAGTCTAGCTGGCAGCTCCCAGTGGGTAGACCATTCCTGCCCCCCCCCCCCCCCCCCCCAATGTTTGGTCTATACCCCAGCTCCAGGTTCTCCTACCAATTCTACCCTGGGTGCCATCATCTTCCAGCTTGCTGGAGCCACAGGGGCCAGAATATCATTGCTGGGGTGCACATTGCTTGCTGGTTTGCGTAGTTGTTGCGATTAAATCGTGCGTCGGCATCCTTGAAAACCTAAAGGCAAGAGCGGTTGTGCTCTGCAAGGGCATTTATTCCACAAAATGAGGAAAAGCTTTGCCGACTGCCATCACCCAATCATGTGCAAGCAAAATGCTGCTTTTTTTTATTCTTCCTGCACATGATTGGCTATTCTTTTACAAAGTTAAGCTTCGCCCCATTTACTAAGCTTTGGCGCAATGCACTTGCGGAGTGTAGAGTCTATTTGCCTTTAGTAAATCAGCCGCATCTTGTCTGACTGCAAACCATGATGTAAATATATATCTGGTTCAATGATGACTCATTCATTTTCTGTAGCAGCAGTCCTGTGTTCATAGCATGGCCGAGAGAGGTCTCATTTCATTTACCCATGTCGGGATGTGTGTGGCACAGGGTGACAATTCGAATCGCCTCGTTAGTGTGCGCTTCATTTGCTCATTGTCTGGGTGCGATTTGTTAAGGAAAGCCTCTCCCAGTGCATTGATACATGGGGGCCCATCTGTGAATTATTGACTGTGTTTCTTGCAGGGATTGAGAGAGAGAGAGAACGCCTTTCCACCGAGCAATCATGCATCGGACGACCAGGATCAAAATCACGGAGCTGAACCCCCATCTGATGTGTGTTCTCTGCGGAGGATACTTCATAGACGCTACGACCATCATCGAGTGTCTTCATTCTTGTAAGTAGAAGATGGATTATAAGAGCTGGGGGACTCTGCAGTGGGCAACCTCTCCAATGTACATCGCTCTGGTGCTTGTTTCGCCATTGCAATTCATTTTCTTAGGTCTGGTTCTGCTTTTCCTCTTATAAGAAAGCTGGAGAATATAGAGAGACAGACTAGGGCTGCTTTACTATCAGTACATTTGTCTATAATGACCTTGTGCCCACACAGAACACTGAATTCTGGGCAGAGCAGTTCAAATAAGAGTTTCCATTATAATGTGAATCCACCTAAATGAGTCCAAAATGTACTTCTGTCTGTAGAGGAGATCATTTGTGTGGCAATAGATTGGAAGTCAGTGATCCTCCTTTTTAATAATGATGGAAGTGCTATTAGTTTAAAAACTGAAAGAGTATAACATTGGAAGAGTCTTCCCTGTCCTGCCCCATTGACTGTTCTTGTAGGACCGCTGGAACAATTATTGGCCTGTCTATCTTAACATGTATTAATGGAGGAGAAAGATGGTCTGTAAAGGTTTGAAGGAAAACAGAGCTGTGTATGTGTGGTAATCTAAAGGAGGGCTCTGTGGATCCTTTTGGAACAGTCGCCATAACTAAAGAATACAGAATTCACTTAACAAAATGTGGAAAAGTTGATAAGTGAAGTCTTTCCAAATCTACTTTGCAAAGTATTTGTTCACTTAGCTGAGAATTAGGTGGAGCTGCATTCAGTTCAATCCTCTAAACATACAAGCAATCCTGACTTTTTTCTGTATTTTTCTATTTCCCTTACACATGACTGGGTACTTAAATTGAACAAAGCTTTACTTTAATCACAGTGAACAGTTACTGTACAAAGTGGAAATGCATTTTTCCAAGTGAATATCCCCTAATTGTAGTAAACTATTCCAGGTTTGTCTTGCTTTTGTATGATCTGTGTTGCTTTTTTTCATTGCACTTATATAATCTATGCTACATTTGGTATTTCATAAAGAGTTGTTCTTTGTATCTACTAGGTTTAGGTATTCTAAAATTATATATCTGTATTGAGTGCCCATTTATCTATATATCTAAAGTTTCTATAGCTGGGTCCATGTGTATATTTTTAACCCTCCATGTATCTGTATATCTGTATAGTTGGGCACTTTTTTTTTTGTTAGTGTCTCACATTACTTGTATCTACACTGTGTTTGCCTGTGTGTGTTTTTAGATATATATATACACATACACAAACCCCACACACACACACACACACACACACATATATATATATATATATATATATTTTTTTTTTTGTTTGTTTAATACATCTATATTCTGTATATCTATAGAAAAAAAATATATATATATAATTTTTTTTCTATAGATATACAGAATATAGATGTATTAAACAAACACAATTTTTAATATATATATATATATATATATATATATATATATATATATATTTATTTATTGCTGTGCAGTATATAATAATTTACTAAAGGAAAAGGGTAGTTCACAATGATAAATTAAGTGAAGTGTTCCCTTTCACATGTTTCACATTTTCAGTCGCATGCTAAGAAGGAATCCTGTTTAATATCCCTCACACAGGATTGGATATTCATGGTGAAGACATCTTCATATTCAATAACATTCACTTAGGTGAACAGCCTCTACTTTAGTAAATTAACCCAAAATGATAAATCGTGACATTTTGTGTATCACTTCCATCAAATATTAAAGGAATGTATTCCTAATTTAACACCAGTGAGCTAAACCATGCAAAACACATGGGGAAAAAATGGTAAAACTTTTATTGTCACTGCTTTGCAGAATTCTACCAGAGGTGTTTTGGTCCCCTGACCATAATCTGAGTGGTTATTCTGTATGTATGTGTGACATATAGATGTATTATTGCATGCACTGCCTCTTCTTGCCCTCTCTCCCCTATCAGTAACCTATCAGTAACTAACCACCTCTCTTGGCTTTGTTTGTACAGTCTGTAAAACCTGCATTGTGCATTATCTGGAGACCAGCAAGTATTGCCCTATTTGTGATGTCCAGGTGCACAAGACCAGACCCCTGCTGAATATCAGGTAGGTAGGCAATGTGCCTTCATTCGAGGAAGGTTGTATTTCTGGCTTCATTGTACCATGGTCAAAGTCCGGCCACTAAGCATGTTCCTCCCCCCATCTCCTTGCAGGGCAGACAAAACCCTTCAAGACATTGTGTACAAGCTGGTGCCAGGGCTTTTCAAAAGTAAGTATGAAATATCGATTTGTTGGTGTGGATTTCCTTCAGACACGAGCCGGCCGCCCTAAACCCACCTCTCCTCTCTTGTAGATGAAATGAAACGTCGCAGAGACTTTTATGCAGACAATCCTACTGCAGCTGGTGAGTCGACCACCCCTTGTCTTGAACAGTACAGGTCCTCTTTATGTCCTCCTCCCTTCCCCCCTGTGGTTGATACGTTTCCTTCTTTTGCATTTTTTGTCAAGCTGTGATGTTTGTTCTGGAAACACAAAAGGGATCTTCTGCAGTTCCTTATCGATTATATTGGATTGGATTGCATATTGAAAGGCTATGCTTGGTGTAGTCGGATCATCTGTGGCCTAAACTATATACAATCTTCTTTAGGTCTGCTAGGAACTATGTAGTGCAAGGATTTGTCTGCATTACCACAAGCTGAACTGATCTATCATATGTGTCCTGTGTACATGGGTTTTGGTAAATCTAAATGAGATTGTACTAAGATTGTATGATCAAATTGTATAGTGTATGGCCAGCTAAAAATGAAACTCTTGGTTTTTGGATTACCATCAATGGTTTGCAGAACAGATTTCTGTTTCTAGTCTAACTGCTGATCACTCGGCAAGGGCAGTGGTATAGCATTGCAGGCGTATTATTAATTAAGAATCCATTTTATGAAGTGACCATATGAGTTCTTTGTAGAGACACTCTTTCTGTTTAATTAGCGGCAAATGGCTCCAATGAGGACAGGGGGGAGGTAGCAGATGAAGACAAAAGGATCATCACAGACGATGAGATTATCAGTTTATCCATCGAGTTCTTTGACCAGACCCGGTAAGTTCTATGAAGTATTGGCTCTGATGAGTGATATAAATGGCACAGATTTGGGTGGAAGATCCTAACTCTTTGTTTGTTCTCAGGGTGGATCGAAAAGGGAACAGAGACAAGGATAAATCGAAGGAGGAGGTAAATATCGTCCGATACTGATTGTACAATTGTGTGTCCTGTATTCAGAGGCAGATAAATCGTGGTCCTCCCGATGTTCTTGACAGGTCGAGTTGCTTTGATACAAAGTAACAGATCAATATTCCAAGGAGAGTCCTCAAAATCCTAAAGTGAATGTATGAGATTGTACAGATTTCATCCTAAACCATTTGCGATCTACTCCCCTATCTGCACACATGGATGAAGGTTCCATGTGCCATGAATCTGCTTGTATAACAAATATCCAAACAGAACTATCAAAACATTGCTACAAGATTTCCAAAGTACATCGCAAGAAGTGTGTTGTGACATTGGGATAATAATATCTTTGTTACACTTGATTTTCTTTCCTTCCTTCCTTTCCTGTACTTTCCTCCTTTCTTTTTCTTTCTTCTCTTCTCATTCCTTTCTCTTTCTTTCTTTCCTCCCCCCCCCCCTCTCTCTCACTTTCTCTCTCTCTCACTTTCTCTCTCCCTCTCCCACCATTTCTACCCACTGATACAATGTAACAAATTTATTGACCCCCCCCCTCTCTCTCTCTCTCTCTTCTCTCTCTCTCTCTCTCTCTCTCTCTCTCTCTCCCTCTCCCTCCCTCCCCCACTCTCTCTCTTTCCCCCCCTCCCCTCTCTCTCTCTCTCTCTCTCTTTTTTCTTTTTCTTTTTTTCTGTTTCGCTCTCTTTCCCCTCTCCCACCTATAAATTACTTCCCACTGATATACAATGTAACAAATTTATTGACTTTCTTTCTTTCTTTCTCTCCCCCCTCTCACTCTCTCTCTCTCTCTCCCCCCCCCCCCCTTCTCTCTCTTTTCTTTTTCTTTTTTTTCTCTTTCGCTCTCTCTTTCCCCTCTCCCACCTATAAATTACTTCCCACTGATACAATGTAACAAATTTATTGACTTACTTTCTTTCTCTTTCTCTCCCCCCTCTCACTCTCTCCCCCCCCCCCCCTCTCTCTCTCTCTTTTTTATTTTTCTTTTTTTTTCTGTTTCGCTCTCTTTCCCCTCTCCCACCTATAAATTACTTCCCACTGATATACAATGTAACAAATTTATTGACTTTCTTTCTTTCTTTCTTTCTTTCTTTCTCTCCCCCCTCTCACTCTCTCTCCCCCCCCCCCCCCCCCCCCCCCCCCCTCTCTCTTTTCTTTTTCTTTTTTTCCTCTTTCGCTCTCTCTTTCCCCTCTCCCACCTATACATTACTTCCCACTGATACAATGTAACATTTTTATTGACTTAAGAAATCACGATCAGTGTGTACAGACGTCCTTATAAACTGATAGGAACAGTGACCCTTCTGCAGGTTCTAGTAGTATCCCATTATAAGGTCTGCTTGGAATGGTTCCACTTTCCCATAGAATTTCCCACAGAATGTACACGATTTAGTAGGATCAATCAAGTGGATTCTGTCCATAGCACAGAGGTTTCATTGACATCGAATTACTAAAGTCAAATATGCTGCTCATTTTGCAAAGGAACTTACAGTTTGCGTAAACATTTTCCGCAGAGCTTCGTGAATGTGGTGACATTTAACTTTGCAAAGAATACCCAATCACATACAAGGGGGAAGCAGTTTTTGTGCTTGCACGTGATTGGATGATAGCAGTCAGCAGAGTACACATTAACTGGGCTCTGGGGGAATTCCCTTGCGCAGTCTATTTGTCTTTAATCAACAACCCTGCAGCTGGCATTATATTGGTCATCTTGCCAAGACATTGCACTTGCTGAAGGAAACCTGTCCTTTCCGTAGCTGGCCTCTTTCAGTGTGAGCCACTTGTCATGCTGGTCCTCTGGCTTCCAAACTATTGCAGTTACCACCCAGAAATAGTTATATGGACCTGGGAAAAGTCCTTGTCTACAGCCTAGCTTGTGTGAGACAATTTATTGAAACCAGGGGATCGATATAATATGCAGACCGCTAATACTGTTTGAAGGCGAAGAAGGAGATCAGGGAAGGTAGCCTGTGGGGGTTATTTTCTAAAATTGGAGAGTGCAAAATCTGGTGCAGCTCTGTGTAGAGACCAATCAGCTTCCAGGTTTTATTGTCCAAACTTAACTGAACAAGTTGACGTTAGAAGCTGATTGACTACCATGCACAGCTGCACCAGATTATTAGTGCTCCGGTTTAGTTAGTAAATCTCCTCCTGTGTGTTTCTTGTAGGTTGTAGAAGTAGTTTAGTATGCGGCTGGATGCTCTTGGTTGCTATGTCTGCTTGCCCACTGAGCCACCTTCCCACCTATACTCGGTTTAAAGAAGCTCATCAACAGTAGAACAATATAGGTGTTCTCCATCGATTGGTGCAGAAAGTGTAAAGTGATACCCCTAACTGGCTATAAGTACAATTATTAAAGATGCAAGTTTTGGGGGTAACTGAGATTCCTCCTTCAGGCTTAATACATTTCAATAAAGGGATCACTTACTCTCCAAAGAGAAGGTCGGCAATGTAACAGGGGACATATTGGGATCATTTACTAATTGGATCGATGCTGTTCACCTAGTAAGCCGTGTGTTAGTGAATAAGGTGATGCTAAGTTGACATGTTGCATGTTCCATGTTGGAAGTTGTAAAGGGGCTCGCTGCTAAGAAAAGAAAAGACATGGCTGGGTATTGAAAGTGATCAATATGTACATGTGAACAGATTCCACTCCTTTTAGTAATCTTCTCATATGAGTGCGGAGTAATGCGAGGCTGTGCTACAAAACAAGCTCAGTATACTCAGAGCTGACAAGTCCATCGTCCGGAAAGTGAATGATCGTTGCGTGTATTCTCCCTTCCAGGCCAATGACAAGCGGTACCTGCGCTGTCCTGCTGCGATGACTGTCATGCATCTGCGGAAGTTTCTGAGAAGTAAAATGGATATTCCCAATGCCTTCCAGGTACAGTGCACCTACAGAGTGTGCCAATGGAGATATGTGTTCACCAGCACCGATCTCTGTACATAAACGAGGTTGGGGAGGCGATTGTATGCTGGGAGATTAAACATATCAATTCCTTTAAGGGGCCCCTTAGACCTGAGCCCTGTGTCCCCGGTGGGGGGAGGGGGGTGGTGGACACATAATTCTATAGACGATGCCATATGTGGTGGACACATAATTCTATAGACGATGGCTGGGAGCAATGTTGTACTCCCATGGGGGGCAGGAGCTGGGGAAGGAAGGGTTAAACCATTCCTGTCATTTTAATGGCGACCTCTTTTATTTGTATTGCTGGCAGATCGATGTGATGTATGAAGAGGAGCCCCTGAAAGACTATTACACGTTAATGGACATCGCATACATCTACACGTGGAGGAGGGTAAGCAGCTGCTGCTCTGAGCGGAAAGGTTCAGCCTGTCCCCAATTACACCTAGCCTGGTCACATGACACTTTGATTGTGATTACTATGAGGGAACACCGACTATGAAGTCCTCAAGCTGTTAGCACTCAGGTTGGCATGGAATCATTTCAATCTGTAGGATCTATGTGTGGCCCCCTTCCCTTCCTCAATAAAAAACACTTTATCTGCTAAAATGTAAGAGTTGGACCTAGACACATTCTCAGTTACAAGGCCATCCATTACTAGAGGAACAGAACGGGTTAACTGGCCTTAGTCTGTGCTTTTTAAAGGGTCCCAATGTTTGCTGACCTTTCCTGAAAATACTAGATCTCTGGCTGTCAGGCTGATTCAGTGGCTTTAGTTTTGCCTGAGTCACTGACCCAGAAGGATTATGCAGGTCAGGAATTTACTTTGACATCAATGGTTTGCATGTTTGTTCCACATCAGCCAGTCGACGTGATAGACACAGCCAGGCAACCAGTCTTTTCAGGAGGTCAGTCTCAGTATTGCTGGTAGTACAGGTTCATTTAGGAAATACAAAAGCTGCCTTGGCAGGTGGTCTTAAAATCACACATTCTTTAGGGGTTGATTTACTAAAGGTAAATAGACTACACGTTGCAAGTGCAGTTGCACTCTGTAAGGGAATTTGCTCTGGAGCTTAGTGAAGGAGGGGTGCTGACTTCCATTATCCAATCATATGCAAGCAAAACTGCTGGTTTTTTTTTTATTTGCACATGATTGGGTTTTAGCTTTGCCTCAAGCTCTGGGCCAAATTCCCTTACAAAGTGCACAGTCTATTTGCCTTTAGTAAATCATAACCCCATTATGTCATCCTCATCTTTGGTTACACGTTCTGACAGTGCTTGCATTGTTTTTTTTTGCTGTAAATGAAGCCAGAGTAATAGGCAAAAACTGTCACCTATGTAAGAGTTAACAAGTACATATTTGAATCCTGGTTCCTTACATTGACTTAGGCTGGAGTTCCCCTTTAGGCATAGTAATGTGGTGTACCAGGTTGCACTGACCTATTCCTTTCTTCCACAGAACGGGCCTCTTCCATTGAAGTACCGCGTGAGACCTACCTGTAAAAGGATGAAGATCAGCCACCCTGCCGACAGAATGAACAACATCAGCGGCGACCTGGAAAGTGACTCTGGCAGCGACAAAGCCAGGAGCCCCGCAGGGGTGGTGCCTTCCACTTCCGCCTGCATGCCAAACCCCAATACCCAGGTCCAGTCGCCGCACCCCCAGTTCCCCCACATCTCCACCACCATTAATGGGACCAGCTCCAATCCCAGCACCAACCACCAGAACCCTTCATTCATCAACAGAGCCAGGAAAATGTCCCTCAACTGTTCCTCTGCCACTTCATCCGGGTGAAGGAGGACTTCTGGGGCCACACCAGTAGAGACCAGCAACACACAACGTAACTAGGAACTTCATACAGCTTTATAGATGCTAATATTTGGTGACTGCCCCAATCGCCTACTTTTTTTGCTAGTGAATCCTCAACATGGCCATGGAAGCGAGTCAGGGTGGTGATTTTTATCTGGATATTTGGTTTCCATTTTAAAAAAATACTTTCAACTTGTTTTAACTCATGTTCGGTGGAAATATGAAACCTGAAATTGGGGACGAGCAGGATCTACATCGTTTGACTTAAGTGGATTTAATTGTGGACCTGGAAAGTCACTTTGGAGGAGGACCCTGACCTCTGTTGTGGATATAAGTTGCCCCTTGAAGAGGGTTGTAGTTATCTCTGGGAGTTCTCCTTGGACTCTTGGGCTGAAAGCTCCTTTCTTGGGAAATTTTGCTCTGGAAAAATTACAATATCCTGGATGTATTATAAGACATGGCACACAGCAAGTATGTCTGGTTTGGAGTCAGGACGACCTTGGATGTTTCCTTATCTCCAGGCTACCTTCACCACAATCTCCTGGTTGTTTTTTTTTTTTTTTTTTTTTTTTTTTTTTTTTGTTATTATAAAGTAATTCTGTGGACCTAGAGAGCTTTTTTGTCATCTTCTCAAATCTAAGTGCTTTATCATCCAACGGAAAGGAAATACATAGACTGTTCTATGTAGCCATTTCACTGTGAATAGTGATTTATTGTGTTAGCCTTCTCTTTTTTTCTGCATTGTTGTAAGACCCCTTTGCTGCCAGAAGGAGGGGAAGGTGGGGGGGGGGGGGGGTCAGCTACTCTTTATGTCCCACCCATCTGGCGTCAAAGGGGACATGTGCTGCTGCACAGAATCGATCAAAGTTAGATAAACTTTCATTTTGGTTTTTTTTTTTACAATCTTTGTCTAAAAAAAAAAAAGAAAAAGAAAAGTAAAAAAAAAAAGAAGAAAGCGGGTACTACCGTTTATTTTACTGACTTGTTTAAGTGATTCGCTTTTGTAAGAATCATTTGGCATTATGCTGGTTGTAAAATGCCATATTGGTATATTGACATAACAGGAAGACAGTATTGTATGATATATTTATAAATACTATAATGAAGATTTTTGTGTTTTCATGCACACATAAAGAAAAAGATTGTTAAACTTTCAAAAGTCTATTCAGTTGTCCAGCTGCAACTAGCACATGTTTTAACATCTCCAGAATTCTTTTTTTTAATTCTTTTTTATTTTCTGGTTTAAAGTGGTTACCCATTAAGCCCTCTGCCACCCGTTGTGATACTATGTAATAATGGTACTGCGTTTGAGTGTGATAGGGAATATCGCGTGTGTGAATAAGGGCCAATCAGAACGCAGCTCTGGTCACTGGACTGTCTTGGCTACACAGAAATAAAACCCCAATGTTCAGACAGTTGATATTGTATTTTCTAAATTATGCAATGACTAGTTGGGAGCAGGCAGACACGCCAGGAATCATTTAAGTAGCCCGCACTTTTTTTTTGTTCTATAATTTTATCTGTTTGACCTTTTCTTACCCTTTCCCACCTGCACACACGTTTATTCTTTAAAGAATAATTAATGTTTGTATTGAAAGGAAAAAAAAAACGTGGCTAATCATTTCATTGTCTCCAGTCTGCAAAGGAAGCACAAATCTATGGCTTTGTCTTGCTTATAGTCATTAAATCATTACTTTTGCATATATCTCATTTGTTGTTCTTGTTTTATTTGATCCTTTTCCAAGTTTTGTAGAAAGTGCTCAAAATGTGAGGCTTTATTATGTTTCTTTAGTCCTTATATATTTGTATTGTGTTTTATGTTGTATTGTTTTCTTTTTAATTGTGAGATTGTGGGGTGCTAATGTTACTACAGGAGCAACAATGTAATGTTTTTTGTATGTATATATATAATATATGACAAAGAGAGGCTCAATTGCACAAATTAAACAAAAGGACAAGTATCTTTATTTTCAGCCAGGTGACCGTAAACTTAAAATCTCATTGGGTTGCGAATGGAGCTTCTAATATGCAAATTATTTGATTGGAACCATGCTGAAACACTTCAGTGTAAAAGAACCCTGTCCCTTTTCCAATGTGGCACATGCTCAGCATTGCACAGCTGTGGAGGCTGTATTGAAATCTCTTCACTGCATATTTATTGGCAACTATTGTGAAAATCAATTGTGCAACCTTTTTGATTTTACTGTCCCAACACCTTTATAAAGAATCCAGAGAATCTCCATAAAGCTACACTTCTTCTATAGCGAAACAAATGGGTGTTGTTTACGAAAACTATAGCATGCAAATCTGATCTAGCTCTGAATAAAAACCAATCAACTTCCAGGTTTCACTGCCAAAGCTTAAATGAACAAGCTGAAGTTAGAAGCTGATTGGCTACCATGCACAGCTGCACCAGTTCTCAGTGCTCCAATTTTAGTGAATCTCCCATATTGTCTGGAGTGTCAGCTCTGGAGGCAAAATTATTTATTATTATTAAAAAATGTATTGCCATTCATCTGCTAATTGACAAGTTGTGGAAACAGATCTGTTGTGAACTTCAGCACTCCCAGTCCCTCGGTCTTATGGTAGAAAAATACATATAAAGATTAGCCCACTGGATATTTGCCCTTACTAGCATATTTTCTACATAAATTATACTTTAGGGTAGCTTAGGGTGCTAGTTGGTGTCCCTTTCCATAGTGACCCTCTGCTTGATTGAACCCCCTGGTTAGGATGATGGGGAATTAAGAAACATAGGGGCCCTAACACAGAATATAATAATTACAGGTCCAGCAGCTGCGGGAACTTCTCCTTTACTGTTAATAATTCACCTCATCCCTTTAGTTCCTGGTCACTCTAGACTGCAGGCTGAGGTCACTGAAACCAGAATATAGACAGACATTTAAGGACCTAGCATGTAAATGTAAGTATTTAACATTTTTTGCAAAGCAACCTGTTCCATTGTTTTTACAGCAACGTGATGGCATGGGCAACCCTACAGTCTGCCTTTTAGCTGCTTTTCTATATACAAAGCTCCAAATGACTCATGTCCTTATTTTCTTTAGCAGGCTGTAGACAGCCACCCACTACACACAGATAGTCTAATCTGCTTCTGGTGGCTACTTACATGTTGCTTGGTCTCTTTACTACAGTGCAGTCCTGGTGCTTTCTGCATTTTAGGCTGATTTGCTATAGTTAAGCATTTTTACTGAACAAAATGTGTCATTTTAATTTCAAGTATTCAATCCTACAAAAAGCATCTGTCTCATGTCTGTGTATTCCAAGTGAACTGGTTTTCCATGTCATTGGATAATGGTAAGGAGGAGTATTCACATAATTTGTTTAAGTGAAGAGTCCTAACTCTTTTAGTGAGTAAGCCTCTTTATAGTCTCTTCTAGGAGACAGACATGGGTTGTACTGATGGCCATGATGGTAATGGGTCTAAGGGATTTTACTAAAAGAGTTGAGAATCTGTACCCAATAAATAGCAGCTGTGTTCACTCTGAATACACAATTATGGGGGTTATTTACTAAAACTGCGTGGTGTAAAATCTGGTGCAGCTCTTCAAAGAAACCAATCAGGTTTCAGGTTTTATTGTCAAAGCTTAACTGAAAAAGCTGAAGTTAGAAGCTTATTGGCTACCATGCACAGCTGCACCAGAATTTGCACTCTGCAGTTTTAGTATCAAGCCCCTTTTTGCCGGATTGGGCATTTGTTTGTTTGTAAAGTAAATTTTCACTTGCTAGCATAAAATTGGATGTTGGAATTCAGCAGAACCTCACCTCATTAACTGAGTGCTCCAGTTAGTTTTAGAACCCCTCCCCCCCCTCCATGTATAGATGAAATAAACAAGTATTGTCTCTTCACATGATTTGACAATTGTAGGGAGTATTCACGTTATTTCTGAGTGAACATTCTGAGCCCCTTTAGTAAGTCAACCTCTTTGAAAACTGATTTGAATGGTACTGGAGACGATGATGGTTGTGGCACTATTTGCTATAGGAGTCGATGATCTTTAACCCAATAATGGTAGTTATGTTCACTTTGAATACCCAGTCATGTCAATATGAAATTAATCAATTTTATTTTTCTCAGAATTTGATAATTCAAGTGTCTCTTCACTCTATTTGAGTGAAAATCCTCAACTCCTTTAGTATATCGCCCACTTTGTGTGTGCGATATAGGGACTGAGAGCTGCTACAAATGTTGGGAGAGCTGATGAAGATGCTGTTTCTGGTTTTCTAAATGGAGAGAGAAAAACAAAGGATGACACGTGAAGGGTGATTTACCAGGGTGGATGAACAGAGATTTGCTTCAACAAAAAAAGTTTTTTCTTTTTGCACTGTTTTCCAACCCTTCAAAAACAAAGCGTCCTTTAAACCAATTTTTTTTAAAGTTCTATCAGTAACACCACGTTTGTTTTCTGGGAAGGCTGCCTATTACAATAGCCTAGTCCATGCAACAAAACCATGAAAACCTGCTACAACTGATTTTTTTTCTTTCTAATGGAAGCCAAATTCATATTTTTGTAAAGAGATTACTGCTGGACCATAAATGAAACAGGATGATATCTGCTGATCTCGTCATTCCATTGCTGGACTGAACTTTGCATTCTCTGTTTGTCTGATTGGGAACATCTAAACTTCTGCTCCATTCTTCTAAATGGCCATCTTGTATTCCTTGCACGGTGATTACATTTCAGTCATTCTCCGCTTCACTTCATTGGTGAGCACTGGATCAGACTGGACCAAAAATGTCTGGTATTCACGATAAAAGTCGGGGCTTTTCAATGCAATACCTCTTGTTGTCCTTCCCTGTGCCCTGTTGACCTGTCTTAAAGGCACGTCTGTTAATCACTATTGACCCAGGAGCATGTTTATAAAAAGAATGTCATCCTAGTGTAAAACCTAAATCGTGATCCTTAGGCTTTTATGCTGGGGTATGGACTTCATATGCTGCTGTATTTCCCTTATAGGATGTAGAT